TTTTGTAACCAAACACTCTATTGTTATTCATTCTTGCCCATTATTGTCTTGAATGAGCAAGAATTAAAAGAATGAATCCCATAGCAGTGAACCAAACATGGCCAAATCTATAAAAGTACAAGAGACCTAGGGATACCTGATCCTCGTTGTGATTGTTCTTTTTGGATTGATAGGAGGTCGGTTTATGGCACTTGTAGTTACTATACTATCGTGTGTACCGGTTAAAACAGTTGAAGCTCTAACGACAACTCCACAGATGTCTGAATACTTAAGTTGGAATGTGAATGATCATGGGGGAAGAAGCATCTTATAAATAGCCTACTAGAGGATGGTGACTCCAAGAAAAAAACATTCAGGTGGGCTCCTTACTAGATGATGTTGTTCGAGATAAAATTGTTCAATTTCTAAAAGTTAACGCCAACGTTTTTGCTTGGTATACAAAAAACATGCTAGGGATTGACCCACACTATCTTGGATATACAACCTTCATGGACACATAAGGAAGTGCAATGTCTCACAGGTTGAATTATTGTGCTTAGTAGAGTGTGAGTAGGCTTCCAAGGTGCCATAGATGATTTGCCCCACTATTTTCACGAAAACCCCCTTTTTTGGCCTCAAACCATAATTTCTAATATTTTTATAAACAAAAAATTAAAAAACATAAATTAAATATAAAATAGTGCATATATCATATCTTGATAAAAAAAATGTATTTTTACATACATACATATGAGTAGGCTCTAGTCTTAATCTAGTAGGCACAATATTATAAACATAGTAAATGAGCACACAATAAATATTCTGCACTTGTATCAAAAGTTGATTTTAATATTTTTCAAGAGTAGTCTAGATCTGCCCTTTACAAAATGCACCTCCCAGCTGCACATCGGGAACATCTCCCATACCTTATGTTGTTATTCATAGGGAGATGTTCCCCATACATGGTGGAATAAGGCTGTAAGGTCGGTATGAGGTGCGCTTTATGAGGCGAAAATCCCGATTCTTTCAAAAACAGGGTGGGATATTTTAAGGAACAAGTGTAAAAAAACTTTCAAGTGCTTACTCGGTGTGATCATAGTGCGCGACTATTGAGCCTAGTGAATGAGGGGAAGAAATATTTTAGTGAGGAATTTGATATTATTCATGCATCCAACCAAATACATTTCACTCATTAATGCGTCCAACCATGTTAGAGCCAAGTAAAGCCCATTGTTTGTGGGCTACAAGCCCACAACTCATTAATTTATTTGGAAGCAGGCTCTTATGTTTTGGTGTCTCTATGCATTATAGATAAACTTAAAGGTGCTCCCCAGACAAGCACACTAGGTTTCACTGGCATAAATTTTTAACGCATTCTATGCATCTTGCATGAGACCAGTTATTGTGTAAATAATGTAACTAGTGTTTGGTTTAGAAGAGTAATACCAAATGCCTCACTAGTCATTGGGAATATTTATTCCCTTCATTCACTAAGGCTCCAATGTATAGTGCAAGCACACAAAAACATCCAAGAAAGCAATCATATTGGGCATGTTTTTGAAAACGAGACCGGACTGGATGGTTGGACCGGTTGGCACAAGAACCGGGTCAAGAGAGTGCAGTCCCCGATCATTCACTTTGTTCGACAAAGGGGCTAATCCTGTCACTATGATCACCCACTCGAGTGAATTCTCAAACTATCCCAACCGACTTGACAGCACATTAGTGTCAGCCTTAGCAAGATTAACCTCTCTAGGTCTATCCAATAGCTGTGAACATTCTAAACTAATATGGTCTCATAAGTGTCCAATTTAAGGGTAATTACACAAAACACACAAGATATACTATGAATCAATTATATACTTTTATTCATTTACAATAAATGCATATGTACATCAATCTGATTGGAGCTAAGGACATACATAGTTTAACACTTGCATCCTTTGGAAATACATAAATGAACTACTCTTCATCTTAACCATACATTGCCAACAAGGTTTAAAGCATTAATGCTCTTGATATCCAAATTTTGTTTTTCAAGAATTTCAAACAACGGATGCTCTTATTATAATCATTTTTTACTAGACTCGGTGAAAGAATCCAAATACAAACATGTACAATGCATAATTTTGTATATGATATTTCTAATTACACTATATATTTGTTTTTACACTATTATGTTTTATTAGCATAAATTTCACATCATATAAAACAAATAAAATCAATAAACTTTGAATTTTTAGAATATCAATGGGTTGAAGAACTAATACACATCAATTGAAATGTACTGATGCATTACATTATTTTGAACCTTGATTGCTAAGCAATTGGTTGACATCATGACTCGAGGCCTTGGTTTGTGCACAAACTTAGGCCCTGTTTGGTTCAATTCTTATTCTTTCTCATTCTTACCCAAGATAAAATTCTAAAATGGACAATAATGGGTAAAAATAGGCAAAATGATAAAATATTGCTATGAACCAAACACTTTTTTCCCCTAAAAATGAATTATTTTCAGATTGACAATTGTCCTATGTTGCTCATTTTCATTATTCAAAAAAAAAAAAAAAAAAAAATTTGTGCCAGTATTCATAAACCGCTAGCCTAGGTCTCCAACAATCAATGTTTACCAGTTGGCAATTTGGCATAGATGTTTTGTAAAAGTACTTTCATAAAAGTGCTTTCGTAAAAGTATTTCCGTAAAAGTGCCCGTATAAAAGTACTTTTGTAAAAGTGCTTTGGTAAAGTACTTTTATAAAAAATGCTTTCATAAAAGTCTTTTTATTAAAGTGCTTTCATAAAAGTGCAAAAGTACTTTTCATAGTGTTTTTATTAAAGTGCTTTCGTAAAAGTACTTTTGTAAATGTGCTTTCATGTAAAAGTATTTTTACAAAAGTGTTTTCATTAAAGTACTTTTGTAAAAGTGCTTTCGCAAAAGTAAACATCTATGGCAGCAGTTTTATGGGTAGAGAGTTTTCTCAATAAATGAAAATGAACAAGATAGGGTATGATTTCAATTTTTGTGCTATGCGGCCGATTTTTCATTCTAAGAAAAATGTGGCCCATGGCAAGAATTTTGTAACCAAACACTAATGTTATTCATTCTTGCCTAGAATGAGCAATAATTAAATGAGTGAAGCCCAGAGTAATGAACCAAACATGACCTTATACACGAGCATTGTTTCAGGTAAAGGAGTTGGGGATTGGAACTTAAGTGTAATGTGGGATATTGGAATTTAGGAAAGATGGAATTAAGGCTTATTTGGGAAAGAATATAAATATATACAAAATGATACACAATACAGGGTTTTAATTTGTACTGTACATATTTGTATTTATACTCCTTCCAAATTGAGCCTAAAGGAGTGGAGCAAGGTGCATGTTAGGTTCATTGACCATTGACATCGAATGACCATTTCAGCTATCACGACACCATTAGGTGTATCAAAATCCTGAAGGGCACAAATTTCGTAGATGATCAACTGCTGAGTTCTAGAGATTCCTTTTTTTAGATCTTTCACCAATACAACCCCAATGAATTTTGAGGAATACCACCTTATTTTTAATTTTTTTTTTTTGTAATCATATGAGTACCACCTGCTTGGTTACAACTTTTGGTTGATTGGTTATGAGTTTTTTCAATGTCTGTATCATAATCGAACCCCGAAAACATCTACTTTATGGCTCCAATGGCTCCCTTGCATTAATTTACCTATCTATTAATAATTGTTAATAAAATTTTAGAGTGGGTTCTTTGTTTAATAAATTTGGGGGGAGGGGGGAGTGTGGGCTTTCCACCTTGAAGTGAAAAATGCCAAAACACCAATGGACAAATTTGTCACCTGTAAGAATAAATATATGGATACAAATAGTAAACTGTTTAACTTATCCAAGTAAATTTCATGATTGTCGTTATCGGTGAATATAAAACTAAGGTACCGTTTGGCAAGTGTTGTTTTTTTATAAAGATCTTCTAGCAGCTTACATGGCCAAATGATATATTAAGTTTTATGAGATATGGTTTTAAAGACAATGACCATTTCGTAATTGGCACAATCTACAAAACTTTTAAAAATGTATTTAGAGACTATTTATTATATGAAAAGACAGGAAAACTTCATTTAAAAAAATGCTTTTTTGGTCTTAAATAGTTTTTTCACTCTTTTTCAAGTCTCACCACTTTTTGTTGCTAAACAGAAAAAAGTCGGATTTTTGGTCTTCTGAATTTTTTAAAGCCTAAAGTATCATGTATAGAGAATTGCTGAACACCACTTAAAACATAAGCAAAGCACCACAAAGATAAAAGAAGAGAAGTGTTACAAGTTAAGGTTAGGGGAGTCCGGAATCACAATTCATTGCTGGCCACGTTCATCTATCTACACATTGGGTATATCGATGATATAAAAGTACTAAAGATGTTCCCAATATAATACACATTGGGAACCAAATTGAACTGTACTTTATTTCACCAAGATGAATGTGGCTAGCAATGTGGTGTAGCACATCTGAACTCGGGTAAGAGTTTTCGTTTTTTGTTCCCTACAATGAAAATGTTGATGATTTAACAGCCTATTGGGTGCATTTTTCATTGTTTAATCCGATTTAAGATCATCCAAAGGTGAAAAGAATATTGACACACGTCTAACGATACACACAACTCATCGGTCATCAGATTAATTGTTTTCATGTAACATCTATCTCCTTCTTAAGTCCAAATCTCCAGTCCACTAGAACTCTGCCCACATTTATCACAGCCACACATGGAGAACATCTCATTCTCTGCATAATATTATGTAGGGAAGATGTTCCTAATTCATGAGGAATAATGTATCGTGGGTAGGCGTGGAGAGTTCTTGTAGGAAGGGATCCGGAGTCCTCCTTCAGTACTTTAGTTCAATTTGGTTCACACGCCCGATATATTCCCGGTTTAGGGTAGTTTAGTAAATTTATTTATCATTCTTATTTAATGCTTTCGGTAAATACTTTAACCATTGGTTAGATAAGCTCTAGTAACTAAAGAAAACTCTGACCATATACAATCGCTCTATGTAGCTAGTCGGTCGGCGACTCGGCGGGCTTTTCTTTAATTTCCTGTCTTCACTCTTCAGCAGAACCGCGAGGGAGAACTGAGAAGACCTAAAAGCTAAAACCCTAAATCCCTGACTAGTGAACTCTTCAGTGGTAAGATCTTACATCCCTTTTTGTTTTCTTTTTTGGGCGATTTTACCTGCAGGAAACCCTAATTTGCGTATAGTCCTTTTTCATACCCTCCTTTTTTCTACCATCTTTCAGAGGATCTATAGAAAATTTCAGGGAACTCTCAGTTGGACGCTTTTTCTTAGTTTGATTCAAGATGAGGTATCTCCGGGACTTTCTTACTTGCTTGCCTGTTTGTTTAATGTTACTTTTGTTAGTATTTCATCATCCTAATGATTTGGTAGAATTGTTGTAGCAGAACTTGATACTGTTTCTTGGAGAAACTCTTAACAGTAACCCAGATTACATTCGCAGAGAAATATTCATCTACAACTGCACGTATGAAAGGCAGTAGCCGGATTAGTATTGATCTACAGAGAAATATTGATTCGCAATTTTCATTGAACTATCACAAAAGAAAAATATATCGATTAACAACAGTAACGCAGATTACATTCCCAGAGCCTATATTCTGTTGATGGCTAGAGAGACATAAAGATGCCATTATAAAAGTACATACGAAAGGGGCATAGTCCCTGTTCTTCCATAGAGCCATTTTATGCTCTGTCTTTCTTGTAGAAATTGATAGGACAAAAAGTTAGGGGAAGAGGCCTATTAAGAATACCATGATGAACATCACTAGTTGAATCTTTACGGTGGCGAATACATTACTTTCTCATTGATCTTATGCTTTGCCTTAAGCCTATATTATGGTTGTCTTAATTTAAAATTGATCTTTTTACAAATCCCTTACTTTCCTCTTATTTTCATTATTCCATATGGTGTAGTGTCACATACCTAGCTAAAACATCACAAGGCCCCTTATAGAAGCACCAAAATGAGGCATAGGGCACTTAGCACCTAGGCACCACCTAAGTGATACCTTGAAAGATGTGATAATTGGGAAGTTTAATAAATTCAATTCAATTATTAGCTTATCTTGGTTTACATGTAGAATCATTTAATCAGTTTCCATTTGGTAAACTCATCAAATGCATGGGTCAGAGCAGTTTAAATCTCCAGAAGTTTTTAGTTTTTGTTCAACCTTGTATACGTGCTTTTTAAGGGAAACTGTAAAACTTCCATCTCTCTCTCTCTCTGGTAATTGATAATTCTACAAAACTACTCTTGGTAAACAAATATAAGGGGCCTTGCATGGAAATAAATGATTCCCCTGAAGGTGCTTTGCAGAAGCCATACTTTGTGTCTAATGTGTATTAGTTATGCTAAGCAAGTGTAGCCATGGTTTAACCCCCTGAAGTTGATGCAACAGTACCATTTCCTGTGTTGTGTACACTTAATCATTTTTTAACAGGTAAAGAAATACCTCCGCTGATGGAGATGAGAAGATACAAAAAGTGTAAAACTCATGTACACTAAGGATCTGTACAATGGGGATTGTACAATCATATGAGTTCAGTTAGCCATTGCAATTCGTAAACAAATTCTCATAATAAAAAAAGTATTATAAGGCATTCTATTCCATGTTAAAAAAGCATCATTTTTATGTCCGTGCAGTATACAAAATGTTTATTTTATAGCGTATTAGCTATTTTGTTATACTGTTCATGGCTGAATTTATTAATCTATTCATTATCCTTTTTTTGCAGCCGGCCCATGGATGAGGATACAAACGTAAGTTATTTTACAATTTCAGTAATTTTAATAGTTTCTGATAATAACTTAATAAGGTTACATCTTGTGAACTGTTTGGGTATTTATTGCAACTGTCTTGATATTTAAGATGTTATTTTTTGCTTCTTGTGTTTTTTCTTTTTGGTTTTCTTTTTCCCCCTTTTCTCCTTCTCAGAAGGAAAATCTTATGCCATACATGAATGAAACTGTTGATAATGAATGGATCTGTCAAGTGTTTGAACTGACTTAATTATAACCATGCATGAACATTAACATATGGTCTTTTTTACCTGATTACAAATGGTTTTATTTCTTATTTTATCATATTATTTACAGTCATACAAGCTTCTTTACAGCTAATGTACTAAAACTTGTCATTTTATGAAACATTTTTTTTCTTAAACCTCAGTTTGGAAAGACTACAAATACAAATATGTACGGTACAAATACATATAAAATAATACAAAATACAAGAACTTGCACTCTACATATTTGTGTTTGTACTCCTTCCAAACTGAGCTTAAATGTCGAAGAGAACTTTGAACTTTGAAGTTTCTATGGGCCTTTTGTGTTTTGATCAACTTATAAAGATCAAGTGAGAAGATACAAAACTCATGATATACCATATGTTAAATAACATTTATTTAGTAGTATATGTTCAATAACATATATCTCGGACTGAGATTAGTAAAGCAAATGGTTTTAGCTAATTGATCAACTTATAGTGGGGCAAAACTAGGGTTTAAGTTGTATATCGTATATGATAAATGAGTATTATGGAGTAAAACAGGGATTACTTGTAATAGGATTGTCTGCTAGAGTTTGTAGATTTTATAATAGGACAGGAAAAAACAGGAAAGGATTTAAGGCAGATTTGAACAAGTGCGATGACAGTTGAGGACACTGGTTTTGGCTATCAGAAGAATGTGCTATGGCTATGGATTATTGGATTATGTTCACCTGTCTTGGTATTCCTATTGGAGCTAAGAGATTGACATCTTCTACATGGTGACTGATTAGAAAAAAGATTGGCGCGGTGGCATGACAGATTTAAGGAACCTTGAACATGCCTATTTCATCATTGGTGAGACTATGTTATGGACACACCACCCGGCAGCACGCCGCGGCGCAATCATAGGCAGCAACACACACAGCGGGCCGCCTAACAGCACGCACCGCCCAGCAGCGCCGCACAGCACATACTGCCCGACAGAGCGCTGCATGCACACGCCCGACACCACACGGCAGCGGCACCATGGCGCGCAGCATGCACCGCCAGGCAGCAGCGCGCACTGCACGGCAACACGCACCGTGCACACGTCGGCACYGCACGGCAGCGGCACCATGAGCCGCGCGCACGCACCCGACAGTAGCAGCAGAGCGGGGCCCACACGACAACTCATAGGGGTGAGCCCACCCTTATCTGGACATGTCAACTCGCCGCCAGCTCAATCTTATCCCTTATCCCTTATTTTATCCTTATCTTATTTTATCTTCTTAAGTAAGAGTTATGAGTTTTAGTTTAAGTAGGAAATTAGGAGTTWTAGTTTGAGTTGGATTACCCTAGCCTAGCCGAATCCAACAAGGAATTCTCTTTTGTAATCTCCTATTTAAGGAGCTACGAATTGAAATAAAGCATTCAGTTTTCCAGTCAAGAAACGAGTGAGGAGAGTTTGGGTGGTCTCTTGGA